CCCAAAAATGGGTATAAACTAAGAACACAAAAATCAAACTGAATGCAAGAACACAACAACCTACAAGTCAACATCGACCCAGAACTCACAATTCAACATTAACTCAACAAAAGAACAAAATACAAATCAACAAGAACACAACATAAAAATCAAACTCAATCCAAGAACACAATAATGATCTCAAGAGCATAATTTCATACTAATCAACATAAACCTCAGCATAAAAAAAAAACAAAAAAAAACTGAACTCAAGAACAGCAATTAAACAAAAGCTCACACTTTAATCTATTTAAAAATGATTGTTTCATCCTGTGGCCACTGATAATGGATTTTATGTGCATTGATTCTCTTTTTAAACAAAAACTTTGTACCAGCATAGAATATGGAAAGCAATTAACAATTCTATAGTGTTGGCTGAAGCGAAAACAGAGAGGAGAGGAAGTCTTCGGGCCCGAGGATTAAGGGCCACCTGGCTACTTCAATATTCCAACAGCATTACAAGTAATGTGAATGTTTCAGTCTGATTACAAGGAAGCAAATATCATAAACAAATGTATACAGTAAATTCTTAAGCAAAAGAACCTAACCATTGAAAGAAGGAAAAAGCGCATGTACTGCTTATTACTGTAATAAAAATTGCATTTTTAAAAGACCATAAATTTGCTGGTTTGTTTAAAATTAATGCACATTTCATTACGTAAAAAACAAAAACAAAAACAACAACAAAATTATTTTTTAAAAAGTGAGATTCATCTGAAAAATATTTTTCATGCGTTACATAAAAAAATAAATAAATAATAAAGCATATCTCAGAGAAAACATTTTTTAGAGCCAGAAACAGAATTAGTTCTAGCAAAAATCTTATTCTTTTCCTTAACCCTGTTAACCCTGGATGCAACATTTCCATCACTGTCACACTGCTGTTAAGGCCATGAAACCAACATGAGTGACATGACCTATTGTAGTTTAATGTCACTGGTGCTGTTCATACCTGTGCAGCGTTTAGGAAGCTCAAACATGAATATATTTACTAAAAGTAGCATTTAAGGAGATTTTCTTGTGAAGCAAGTGCTTTTTTAAAGCCACACTGAAGTCAAATTTTCCCTTAGCCTCATTAAAATAGGTCAGGGAGTTTCGGAATGAATCACTTGAAACATATTTTGTAAGGCCTTTGGAATAGTATTCCATTTAATTCTTAACTATGTTCATGTTGACTGATTACTCCCTTTAAATATTTTGAAAAAAACATTTTTTATTTTAAAGCATAGAAATTCATTTTTAATAAATGTATTAGTGACCTGTGTTGAATGTTTATGTTGTAAAGGATATTTTCGGGAATTTCCAAGGGTTCATAACCTATTTTGTTTAGCCTTCTCAGGGTGAAAGGGTTAAACTGTTCTATCGTAGACATAACTTTGCATGGTGTTACCTCTTTGGCTTGATAATGTATTAAAAAAAAAACTTTTTCACACCACTGTCTCATAAAGGCTTTAGTGATGGGCAAATAGTTTTTTAGATTAATCAGCATTTAGTGGAGACTATATGATCAACATCAAGCTGACCACCTTAACTTCCTTGTACATTTACTGGTACTCATCTGTAGACTGAGTCCACCTGGGAGCCAAATGTGATTATGTATAATATATAATAAAATGGACTTCTTTGCAATAATTTTTCTTGCATAGATATTGTATATAAGTCAATCAATCAGCATGTCCTTTACAGAATGTTGCTCTCTTCATGAAAAATATCAAAGTCTCTCTTTCTCTAGCCATTTATCCAGCCCTATGTGCTTTTATAGCCAATGCACTTTCAATGTCTTGTATCCACATTCATGGAGGTCTGTCTCTACCTCGTCTTCCAGAAACTGCAACATCCACCAAGGTTATCGCCAGGCCACCATGACACTTTTCATGGCCAAAAACTGCAGCTTTCAGGTTAGGATGTTGTTTATGAGCCAGTTTTCCTCAATGGTGAGATCATGTCGAATGTCAGTGTCTTTCTTCTTCTTAGTCCCTAGTATTCAACTAACTTTTCTGAAGCATTTCAGTTCAAAAGCTCTGAGTTTTCTTTCAAACACTGAGTAAGAGTCAATGATTTGCATCAAATAAGTTGCCATGTGAAAGATGCATGATCTCACACTGGCAACCAGGTTGTCCATTAACTCACTGGTAGATGACTTTGTGGCTGGTTGGGACAGTATTTGGGTCTGTCTCCTTTGATGGCATCAACACTGCAGAAGTCCTTTTCAGGGTTTTTGGTGATGTGCAATGCTAATAGCCATTTTATATGGCGCACACAACCTAGTCACAATTATAACCTAAAGCTCCCCCTTCGGGGATGCTGGTTGAATGTGACACTGTTTTTTTTTCAGCAAAGCACCTACCTAACAGGCATGATCTCAAAATGTGTACTTCTTGCTTGCAGGTGCTTAGCCCTAGGTTTTTCATGCAGTTTAGCTTCTGCACTGCTAGAGCAAGCCTTTCCCTGACTTCTTTTGAGCGCCACTGTCACTGTTGTTCATTGTTCAGCCTAAATATTGTGTACAAGTGAGCAATCTTCCTGTTTAAAGCAATCTGCACTATTTTTGCTCCACTTGATTCATCAAAAAAAAAAAAAGAATCTTCCTAACGCTAAGGCCATAATAAATCATTAAAAAGTTAACATTTATACTCCCTATATGCTAGTGTATTAAAAAAAAAATTATAACTTTAAATTACTGCCCTTAGTAAGTATAACTTTTCCGGCTGGTGTAGAACAAGGACTCCTGAGCCAGTGAATTTAGAGCCGCATGGCTATTTCAGTGTCTATGGACTGTGCAAGATAGGTGTTTTTTTGTTTTTGCCCCCAAGGGGAAAGAATTCCATGAACCTACAAATAATGTCAACCCAAGTCTCTCGAATAAGAGCCTGGTATCCGCAACTACTCAGCCACTCTGTGTTGTTTCTATTTTAATATTGTATACTCTCACTGCTGGCATTGTTGAATTTATTCTCGCTTGGTGTCTTTGTTTGCAGCCTTTCTCAAGCTTCTCATTTCACTGACCATTAGCAAGACAAATTAGTTAGTTCCATAAAGAAGAACACTCAGTTTGTGATAATACCTTTTTATTTGTAAATTATCAACATAGATATATTGTTTTGTTCAGAAGCAACCACTACAAAAATACTACTCAAGAAAAAAAAAAGGCACTACAACATATGTAATTCAATGTTTTTCTAGGCATCTCTACTTGAAAAAAAAAAAAAAAAACTCCTATGGGAGTGTCCCAAGTGCTGTGATGTTGACTCTTAATTCAACATTCAACATTCAACAAAGGAAATCCTATAAGCACCAAAGAAAAGAAACAAAAGCAGCTGCTGGTTATCTATTGCGTGCATGATTCAAACAACTAAGAAAATAGAGCCCATAATAACACAGAAAAGTCCACAATTGTCACAAAAATGTCAAACAATAAACAATTATAAGAATATCAAAGGTAATAATAGGAAGTCTAGTTCTGAAAGCTACAAAAGCCCAGTGCAATTGGAATTCAAAATCTTCATACAACTGCTGATGTGTAGACAAAGGTACATGAAACATCACAACGTATAAAATAGAGTGATATGATCACATAATTCAGCACTGATTAACTCTTTCCGTTCATCGGGAAGTTCAGACGGTAAAACTTTAGAACTCCATTCTTCTACAATCTATTACATTCTTCTTCTTCTTCTATTTCTTCCATTTGCCTGAAATTAGTTTTGTGTACCGGCAATTTTGTTTCTTGTGTAAATGTAACTGTCATTTCTGGTTCATTAGAGTTTACTTTCCACAGTTCATTTTCCCTTGGGTTCAATATTTTCTTTGTCCTGCTGGCGGCGTTACAGTTTAACATATGACAGGTAGCAGAGCTAGGGTGCTTCAGGTTGCTTGGTATGTTGCAATGCTGCAAAGTCTCTGGCTGCTAACGACTCCTTCAACCCATCTATTTCTAGGTATTCTTCTGCCTCTGGGTGTTTCCATTTTCACAGCGTATACTCTTGTTGCCTGCATCATTGGATTCACTCTAAGTGGTTTAACTATTTCAGTCTAGGTTTTTAAAGGTAAAATTAAGTCTTTGTTTCTTAATGAATTAAACAATGGGCAGTGTTTAGCCCCCTCTGGTCCTTAAAATTATTTGAACTTCCTTAGATTCAAATAAAGAATGTACAGTTCCCACAGTGTGCAAGTCAGATGTGGCCACAAACACTTGAGTAAATTCTGCAGGACTGCTCACTCTACTTACAACTTTGAAAAGAAACCTGGCCTCAAGAGCAAAGTGTGCAGAGCCAGCTGTGGGGAACCATGAAGGACCTGCAGCTGACATGCGAGTTCACACAGGCAGCCGCCTGATGGTCTTACAAAGCTGAACACAAAGAAGAAGAAGAAGAAACACTGGCAGCTTTAAACTACATACAACTTCAGGGATAAAAGGAGTCAAAGTATTTAGGGACAAGTACTAAATGAGTTAGGTCTATCGAAAAATGTTATAGAAACTTTTTTTACATTGACTTTTACAAATAATATTTTGTTAAAGATAGATTTTCTAATGTATAATATGACAGTTTTTGTTTGCTGAAATCATGTTAACTGTATTAAAAGTGCTGTTACAATTATATAAATATAGCAATGCTAAATATGTAGCAATGCTTGCAATAATGTAGCAATGCTATCAATAATGTAACAATGCTATCAGTAATGTAACAATTCTATCAGTAATGTAACAAGGCTAGCAATAATGAACAATGCTATTAATTATGTAGCAATGCTAGCAATAATGTAGCAATGCTAGCAATAATGTAGCAATGCTAGCAATAATGTAGCAATGCTAGCAATAATGTAGCAATGCCAGCAATAATGAAGCAATGCTATCAACAATGTAGCAGTGCTAGCAACAATGGACTGGTGCTAATATTTTAACAAAACTAACAGTAGTGTAGCCGCCATGCCAGCAATAATACAGAAGGACTGGCAATGATTTAGCTTTTAACAATGTTGTACTTGACCTCTCCCTGTGGCTGGAACATCAGAGGCTGTCCATTGACAAGCATACTGCCCATTGCTTCATTTAGTGCCTGCGGAAGTTGGGGGGGGGGGGGGGGTTTTATACTTAATTTTAAACAGGTATTGCATAAACACTATATTTTAACAAAATAAAGGCATTTTCACACGTAATCTGCACATTAGGTTTCATGTGCTAGACCAATTTGTTTGTAATTCCAACAATGCTAGAAAGAAAAACAAATTTTTCATTGTCGTGAACCCATATCAAGCATAGCAAGCATCTTAGTAGATTAGAAAGACAAGTAATAGAAGGCACAGTCCCAGAAAAGAGGGGCAGGGGCTGACCAGCATAGACCTGGGTACAGGATAAAAGTGATACCTTGAGTAGCCAAGTGCACAAGATCTGGTGAGAGACTGAGTTTTTTTTTTTAAGGAAGGCTGTTATAAGAGCAATGTTCTGCAAAGGACCTGCTACATGATGATGAATACCCATAAGAAATATGCATATTTTAACTCATTTATGTCCCTGGTAGGTTTGACCTTATGGAGTCATGTTGATAAATAAGCATAAGGAGTTACAAGAGGGAGAACAATGAGGACCCTGAGATAATGGAGCAGGAGACTTCCTGTTCTTTGCCTGCACTCGTTTACTGTTAGCTGTGACTTAAAAAGACTGTTATTTTGTATAATCCAAAAATCATCATCATCATCAACAGCTTGTCATGCAGTTATACCTCACACAAGGTTCGCATTCTACTCTTTCTTTTTGTTCTATCTTAGGTTGTTTTTTTTAGACATTCTCACCTCCTCTGTCCAATTGTTTTCCCATTTGCGTGCCTGTTTGGTGATTATCTATTGGACGAGCCCAACATATCACCATTTTCTTTATTTCATAACTGCTGACACCTGTGATTGTCTAGAGATTTCAAGTATTTCTTAAAATTTCTTGAAATTATTTTGTATTCACTTCCCTATGCATCTGTTTTCAAATTCATTCAAATTTTGCTCAATTTCGTTAGTGGTTCTCTGACTTTCACTGGCATAAGTTACAACTGAATAACACTGGCATAAGTTAAAACTGAATAACACTGGTACAAGTTGCAACTGAATAACACTGGTATAAGTTAAAACTGAATAACACTGGCATAAATTACAACTGAATAACACTAGCATAAGTTACAACTGAATTACACTGGCATAAGTAACAACTGAATAACACTAGGATAAGTTACAATTGAATAACAGTGGAACTGAAAATACATAACTTAGTTGTAAAATTATATAACTGAGAGTTCCATATTTTGTTAAGGCTTTAAAAGGCTGCTGATGCCTTACCAATGCATACCATAATTTCTTATAATTAACAAACATAAATTATAAGCACATTGGGGGGGGGGGGGGAGGATTTATCTAGCAAATCAAGCTGAAATAGACTGAGGAAAGGGGGAAGACGTGAATGAAAGTGACAGATGATCAGACAAATGACAGAGAAGGGAGTGGAAATGGAAAGAGTGAGAACATGAGAGATGGATGGAATAAGAATTTTTTTGTCCTCACAAAAGCCTAGGGTTAAAGACATCAAGAAATTACACAAAGAATCAGAGCAGATATTGCATAAAACAATTTTTCTTCTTCTTCAACTGGTTCTTTAGGTCAAGTATCAGCACAGGAAATTATGTAACAATATTCAAAACAGATAAAGAGAGAAAGAGAGAGATCTGGAAAGAGAAGAGTAGGAAGGAAGGCGACAGCAAGACACAGGAGGGAGGGGTGAGAAAGAAGAATTTTTCAAATGCCAAACTAAACGACTTATGTATACACACTTAAAAGGGTTGTTGGCACATTGTATTGTGGTTTTTACAACTAGGCTGTGATATGTGACTTTCTGCGATTTCAGCAAACCATTAATTGGTCACCTTTTAAATAACGCTTGCTAGGAAGCAATGGCTCCAGGTCATGCTGGCGTGCTGAAAAACAAGCAAGCAGAAAGACCGGCCATTTCTGCACCACTTTGTGGTGAATTGATGTATGACAAGATGTTGTGGGAGCCCTTTGGGAGCAAATGAACAGTGCAGAGGCACAAACAGATCATTATGGTCTGAGGAGAATGGCACTGCAGAAAGTTATCAGGGTATCTTGCTGATGCGCAACACTCAAGGGAAAGGTGAGACAGATGTACTATAAAACAGTTTCTTGTGCCATCAGAACTGGAACTCTTCTCTTGCTGCTGAAGATGAGGAGGGAGTGCTTATGGGAGGTTCTCCGAGGGCTGTGATGTTGATTCTTAATTCAACAGGAAGCAACGGATCTATTCTTTACCGTTTTGATCCCATCCCCTCCTTCACTTAAAAACGAGCCCCAGAACCCACATGGGTGACTATATGAAATATGTGACTTTTCCCAGCCCCAGCACATTCAGGTAAAAGAGTTCTGACTCCACATATATATCCTCACCTGGTTCTTGATGTCAAGCACCACTACTGGACAGTAAGGAGCAAGAATGTTCAAGAGCTGGACCACAAGGTCAACATAGTTTGTAGTGCAGCTACCATGATATTGCTTGATGCACTGCTCTTCTGAATGGATAACACTGTGTGAATAAAAGAAATGCAATAACTTTTTTTTTATATTTACAGTGTATGTGTATAGGGTCTGCATATCTTTGTTTTTTCTGTGTGATCTGACAATGAAAATTTCAACCTTTCAACTCTTTAAAAAAAAGAGTGATCATGACCCTGTTAGGAATCGTGAAAAAACAATCTGTAAAAAAATTAATTAACAGCAATTTTTACACAGGTCACTAAAATTTGTTTTAAAAAAATTTATTTATTGACATTGTAAAATTATTTTGAGACAAGTAAAGATATATGAAAGCAGTAATCAATAAGCAGATAAGATGCAAAGCATTAAATTGAATACATCCCCTAAGGCCTAAAAAAAAAAAAAAGACATTTGGGTGACTCATTTTGTGACTCCATGACCTATTCCATAGAGGCTTATGGGAAAATCTGATGTCATCTTGGCTTTAAAAAAAAACATTTAGTACAAAGGAAAACCCCTCTACATGCTACTATTAATTAATTTATTCATATCCTGATCTCCTGTGCACAGACGCGGCCTCAGCCATCTGCATCAACTATATATCTCGTAAATAGGTCATGATAGGCAAGTCAGAAAAGTGACATTTTTGCGGAATTGGACCCAACCGGAAGTGTCAGTTTTTTGGCTTCTTGAGGTGAAAGGGTTGACTTCAACAATGTATTATCTGGTATTAATCTTGTTCTTCTGTTTTGGCCTTCAAAAGAGCAGTTGGCACATTGTGTTGTGGCTTAGAGCAAGACCTTTTTGTCCAAAAAATCTGATTTCAGTACATCTCTAAACATCCTTTAACAACATGCTTGTTATGAATTCAATAGGTCTGTTCTTTTCTCCTCCCAAAATGGCAACAGGAAGCCCACACGGGGAACTGATTGTCTTATTACTCCATAAATAAAACAAGAGTTGCAAAAGTTTATTCTATATCTATTCTGTGTTGTCCTATAAAATGTTTTTGAATGCACAAGTTTCTATCAATTTCTACTAAAGGCTGTCATATTTAATATGTACAGAACACAGATGCAAAATGTCTCTTCAACTCTTTCAGGCCCATGAATTTTGACAGACTTTGCCCACATTAATTTCCCTTTACAAAAATGGCAGAGGGGTGGGTGTACAAGAAAGGCTGTAGAGATTGTAATATACTTCTAATCCCGATAAAAGTATATATTTTTAAAAAGAGAAATGAATGCACTTTTTGAATCTGATGACAATTGTTTGTTTGATTTTGTTATAGTTAGTGGACAAGAAGAATTCAGCAGGTGTTAATTTCACAAGGACAACATTTCACAAAAAAAAATTCTTCACTTACCATGGTTTTGCAACCACAAGAATAGTAAATATCCAAATTTGAGAACAAAACTTCAAAGTTTTTTCAATTTCCTAACATATTCTAAAGTTATGATAACTGTCTGGGTTAGTTTATCGCTCAGGGGCTTTTAGTTCCCACCGAGTGCTAAGCAAAATTTCAGAGAAAAAATGGCAGAAAAATGAGCCATAACACACACACTATTTACTATTCACTTTGTACAGTTATTTACAGACTGTAGCTGCAATGATTTCAATGTAGCTTAGCCATAGTACAGTACTATCTCTTTGTTTAGAGCACTTTCCTTCTTCTACACCATAAATACGGTATTATGGGACATTGTCTGTGTAATAAACTCGTCAGAATCGCTAGAGTCCGAACAGCTGATCGCTCAGCTTCACTGGTGAAAATTCACTGTCCGAATCACTTTCTGAAAAATCTAAACTGTTATTATCATTATCACAATTAAAAACATCTGACTGAAACAATTTCAGAGTTTCGGCCGCCAGAAAGACGCATTCTGCGACCTGTTCTTGTGGTTAGAACATTGGTATTCAGTGCACTCAAAAACGAACTTAGAAAATGTACTGTTAAACAAAATTTGATGTTTTTTTCTCTCAAATTATCCACGTGTGGTTTAGTCCAAAAAAATTAAACTAAAAGGATTTCGGCAGAGTGACTTTCCCTGAATAGGTTATTCATACCTCCAAACATTAGAAACTAGTACGAACGCGCGTGCAAAGCAAAATGTAAGAGATACACAATTGACGATGACACCGTTGCTTGGGCAGAACGGAACTTCTCAAACTACGCTCACACTGTTGTTTGGGCCTTAAAGAGTTAATTTCTTCTAAAGATGCAACTACATAAATTTATCTCCAATAATTTCTTCTGCAGGTTGCCTTATTTATCTAAATGGGTGCATTTTAACAAATCTCTACAAATCTTCTGTGGCTTAGGCATTTGCAAAAGCGCATTGTAATTCCAAAACACCAAGCTTGATTCCAGCTGCAGATGATCTGGTAGCAGACTGCTTTGCACTGACTCAAAAATGTTAATGTGTGCTGACAATTTAAGAAGCAATGGCAAACTAATGAACAAAAAAATAATTTAGCAAAACCAAACAATGCTAGATTTGTTTCTACAATATCCTGTAAAGGATACAAAACTAAATTATTTTAACAACAGGTTGTTTTAGTTAGTCAACAGATTATCCTCATTGCACGTCAAATCACTCAGTCCATAAGTGCTCGGATCCCCTCCTCAGTAAATCCTGCAGCGTGTAGCGGCTGACAGCAGTTCTGTGTTGGTTTATTATTATTCTTTGGCTACCCTCTTAGTGTTCTTGTTTGGCGACATTCCGTTTAACATGTTGTTCTTGCAGTCTGACCACGGCTGCAGATTCACAGTTCTCAGTTGGTTCACGCAAACGTCTTAATTCTCTTAGAGCATTCAGTATATCAGCCTGGTCTATGTCTTGGCCGGCTTTCACAGTAGCCTTACCTGCAAGCCTATCAGCTTACTCATTTCCTTGTACCCCCACATGTCCTGGCACGAAAATAAACTTGTTGAAACTAATCCTTGTCAGCCGTGAATTCTGCAGAGCCACCAACATCTGCCTTCGGACCCAGCCCTTCTCTATCTTCCTAAGCATACTCATTGAGTACAGGTTGTTTTATTCCAACTAAACAAAAAACAACTAAAATTCTCCCCCTATTAACTGCTTCTCCAGGATGTCTTATTACTTACATCTAGAATGCAAAGTTACATAAATTTCTCCAATCAATTACTTCTGTAGATTGTTTTATTTCATCTAAACAGATCACAGAACTACACAACTCTCTCTCTCCACCTTTCTCCTCTTCCTTCATCCTTAAAAGGGCGGTTGACATGATGTTTATTTTTAACAGTGATGCTGCAATATATGCATATTTCGGCCCAACACATGCAATTTCATCCAATCATTAATTAGCTGCTTTTTAAAACATGCAGTGGGCCTACCACCCCCACCTCCCCACAGCACCTCACTCCCCTGTTTCTCACCCCAAAAGAGCCCTAGAACCCACGTGAAGATATCACATTTGTTCTATAGGTCTTTTATATTGAACAATGAGTTGCAAAATAATTTTCCCCATTAATATCTAGTCTGAGCCTTTTTATCTTTATGGGACACAGGGCTGCAAAAGTACTTCTACTGTTATCTATAAAGAAAGGTCCATTTTCCACACCTTTAGGCATATTGGGAATATAGGGCTAGACCTATATTTTTATAGACCAATCAGCACTTGGTGGGTGATGTTGTCAGCACCACTCCTGTCGCCTTTACTTCTTAGGAGAGCACCTGGTGCCCATTCAGGGCTGGGTCAACATGGGAGTCAAGGTCATTTTTGAAAAAAAAATGATGCCAGCTCTGTCAGGAGGCGAACCTTTCGATCCGCAGGCGGGCGACTAACAGCCAATGCCATGGCGACTCCCACTGATATCTATGAGTGACTCTTTATTAAACTCTGAGGAACCTAGGCATGCCTCATTTTCTCACCCTACCTTATGCAATATAGCCTGTGCAACTTTTAATTTGCTTTAATAGCTCCTTTCATCAACAACAAAACTGGTGGGAGGGGGGGGGGGGAGATCGATTAGGACCCAACTGCTAATCTAAGAAGTTAAAAATGTCCAGTTTATATTGTTTTCCAATCTTAACCTCTGGATTAAAAAAAAAAAAAAGAAAATCACAGGAAATATGAGAACTCAAACCTGCACATAGCTGTCTGTATATCGTGGTCAGAACGTAATGTCATCATGGTACTTCCCAGCTTGCCCATGTAGCACTGCATAAATTCTTGTGCCTGTCCAGGGTTCATGCAGGTGTTTTCCACAAAATCTGACAGGAACAACATATTTCTATTTAAAAAACAAAAATTTTCAAGAAAGTTTGAAGTGTCAGTAATGATCATGGGTTTCATTGAATATAAGCTCCAAGCTTTCAAATTCTGGTGTCTGTGCCTTCATCATCATCAGGTAGCAGGTCCTTTGCAGAACGTCGCTCTCATTACGGTCTGCCTGAAAGAAACTGTCTCTCGCCAGCTTTCCCGCCTAATGTACTTTCATAGTCAAGGAGTCACTTATATCCTGTGCCCATTTTCGTGTTGGTCGGCCCCTGCCCTTCCTTCCTGGTACAATGCCTTCTGCTATAATTTGTTCCAACCCATTGTGGGGCTTGATATGACCAAAATATTTCAGCTTCTGAGACAGGATGCTGTTTATTATACAATCTTTCTTGATGTTCAGATCTTTCAAGATGTCAGTATTTCTCCTCTTCTTTGTCCAAGATATTCTGAGAATCTTTCTATAGCATTTCAGCTCAAAAGCGTCTGTGCCCTAGGGGTTAAAAATGCAGTTTTATATTCCTGACACATTGGGGTTTGAAAACTGCAGACAGCAGCCAACCAATCTGCATTGGTTGGACAATGGTATAGTTTATCACAAGCTCAGAAAAGGTTTTACATCAGCTGGTTAAGATCCTTTATTCAACTGGAAGCAGCAGTGGACCTTTTTCTTTCCAAACTCCTGGAATAGAGAGATAAACAGTTGTCTGTCTCTGAGTGCACCATCACAGCTAGGTTAAAATGGAGAGGCACTACCTTTAGTGTGTACTGACATTTTTTTCAATGAACAAACAGCTAATTCTGCTTTGCGTTCACCGACAGTAAACTGTTCTGGTTGCTCATCCATTTCTGCACTTTAGTTTTGTTCCAGAACTTCAACTTCAGGTGCTCATTCATTTTATAGATCTGGTTTATTTGTATGCAGATGTTTGGCTGCTTACCTCTCAGGCTAAGGCACTGCAAAGTCAAAGGAAACTGCTCTAATTAGTCATTTTGTATGACACGCATGATTCTAAGTAGAGGTTTCAACTTCACTGCAATTTGGTTTTTCTTCAGTTGTCTCTGCGTTCCTTTGCCCATGAAAATCAAATGGTATGTCCCTCACCTTTGCATTTGAAAAACATGACACGCATGTAGGGAGGGTGTGAGCCTTTTATTCCCCCCCCCCCCCCCCCCCCCACCCCCCCCAACCCCCCCCCCCCTCCCCCCCCCCCCCCCACCCCCCCCCCCCCCCCCCCCCCCCAATGGGTGTTCTGAACTACCATGAGGAAACTAACTACTTATCTAGAAGGATGCAATCTGTGGGTCTACTCTTTTTGGCACCAGAACCCGCAAGAGGAAACTAACTATTTATCTAGAAGGAAGCACTCTGCGGGTCTATTCTTTTTTCCCCTGCAGAATGAAGAAATTAACTACTTATCTAGAAGGAAGCACTCTAACACACACACACACACACAGACCTTTCTTGTGTTCACACATGAACTGGAGAGCCTTGCTCAGGTGTTCCTTGTTGGGCAGATACTGTTTAATGACATCCTTTACTGAAGGATAGCATGATGCCAGTTTGTCCTCCAGACACAGTGCAATGCCAACCACATCATTCTGGTTTCTGGAAGTATAAAGAATCAAACAAACATGTGTACAGACAAGAATATTGTCATTAATCAATAAATGCCTGAGAAAGTGTATATGTATTATCATCATGTACCAGAGTGATAAGTATGGGAGGCTGCAGTTTACTATTTCACACAATAAGTGAGTTGTATATCCATCAAAGAATGCTACAGAACCAACCCCAGCATTTGTTGGCTGTTCTGGTTTAGCAGAAGGTCCGGTATTGGAAAAGAGGTACAGGGGTTGACCAGCATGAAGACGGGCATAAGATATGAGTGCCAACCAGGGTGGGAAAATGTATAAGGCGGGAGAACTAGTGACAGACTGAGTGGTTTTTTTAGGCAGGCCATGAGGAGAGCGATGTTCTGCAAAGGACCTTATATATGGTAATTTTTCACTGGTCACCTCTCGATACCCATTGTCAAAATCAATGCAAAGTGGTCTGCTGTCAAGTCACCCGCATTTGGAATTAAACTGGGTACCTCTGAATTATAAAGCAAGTTCACAACACCTATTTACACAATAACTGGAGTCTTAATCAGGTCTGTGTTCTCAAGCGTATTTTGCCATGTATGGCCTAGCCAACTAAGTACTTATTAATGTCTTCACCCTGCTCTTTTCTCAATTAATTTGTCAGCTGGTTAAAATGTTTCTCAAGTGCTGAAGATACTGAAAACATGGTTTTCCTTCATGAATTTAAATATTAGAGGTACATTAATCCAAAAAGAGCATGCAGTAAATTTGACATCACTGAGGTAACCTATGACTAATCTGGAATTTTGGCAGTGAGATATACAGTAGGAGTAGAGATGTTGTGACTTGTGTATTTTTAGCTAAAAGGAGTTATATATTGTGCCTCATTATATGCTGAGATTTTTTTTTTTTACTAATGTACCTGTTGAGACACATAAACAGTGCGATGCATTCAGCATGTGAACATGACCAATCCATGTAAACACACATGCACAGTTCAATGTAGATACTTATACCAGACCATGACAAAACTACATATATAAAATACACAGCTATTACATGGAAAACTGCACCATAATTTTATAATCATGCCAAAAACACAGAATGCTTTCCCAGGTCAAGCTCCCTCTTACACCCACTAACTCATACCGGTGAGTATCTAAATCTCACAGCTGCTATAACAAGTAAATTGACAGTCAATGAACTATCTTAGAGGAAAGAGAAATGGTTTCACAATGCAATCCTCGCTGTTTACCAGGTTTTAATTCCAACAGTGGAGGTTTAGAAAAAGCATTCTGTTGCAGCTTTCAGATATTGGTGTGACAGTCATGGCTTTCAGATAGTGGTGTGACATATGTGACTTTCAGATAGTGGTGTGACAGACGTGGCTTTCAGATAGTGGTGTGACCGACAACACACCTTGGAAGAGATTAGGGCCTCACCGGGTAATATCCACATAATTAGTGACGGATACACAGCAGCCAACCCCACTGTGGAGATGGCAACATTACATTTATTTATGAAACTATAAAATGATTCTGAAATGGAGAAAGAAGAGCCTTAATAGGATAAAACAATCCAATTACTAAGAAAAATAATAGTTCTCCTTCTTCTTCGCTAACTATAAACTCCAGCAGAAAGTTCTGGTTGTTCATCCACTTCTGGGCTTTACTCTTATTCTAGATTTTGATGCACATGCATTTTTACAAATCTGGCTTATGTGTAAACAGACTGTTGGACCTTCATCTCTCTGGCAGGTGCACTCTGACCATGAAAAAAACCACCCGTAATTAGTGGACTTACAACATGCCTGTTGGGGAAAAAGGAGTGGGGTCTCTTCTTCCCCCCCCCCCCCCCCCAATGGGACCCTGGAACAAATAGTATTTTTTTCAAAATATAAACATTTCAGCAAGACAAAATCCTACTTGCAGATAAAATCCACAGTGGCCATAGATTTAGGATTGTTAATGTGCTCCATAACTTGAAAGAAGAGACTTGGTTCATGTGCTATACATTCCAAGATGTCCTTCCTAATTTCCTGCTGGTTCAGTTGACATGAGGACCCTTAATGGAGAAAACAAGACAGTCCTAAGTAACCTGGATTCTAAACAAATATTTCCACAAGTATAAGATGCACTTATTTTCCCAAAATATTGTGTCTAAAAAAAGTGTGTGCCTTATACAATGGTAGTAGAGCTTCGTCATATTTTTTTGTTCAAAATCTCTGGTCCCAAAATCTAGGTGTGTCTTATGCATAGGATTGTTTTAAACTTAATACAGAAAAATACAGTACAAATGTTACTGTATCTCATGGGAGCTATAAGTAGCGTACTGGCTAGAGGCTTGACTGCCTATTTAAAGGTCTTGAGTTCAAATCTGCACCAAGCCAGAGTATTTTTTCTTTCTTAACTGACTTCCCAGTTGATGTAACCTATAATGGGTAGAGGTCTAGTCCTGGAAAGCAGAGGCGACAGGAGCAATGCTGACCACAACCTCCATAGAGTGTCAAGTGGTCTACACAAAATGTGGGTCTAGCATCATATGTCCGATGTGCCACAGGTGTAATAAGGGTCCTTTACTTTGACTTACTGTGTCTCATAACTGTCAACTTGTCCATGAAAGGCCAATTGTTGTAGTTCACTTTGTTCATCTGCGTTTAAGGATAAACGATACAACCAGAAGATTACTGCACTGGAATCCAGTGTTTGTGGCCTTTTCCCCCAAGAATAGTGTTATACTGTACTATAGGCAGGCACAGAAAATCATAGCTATAGTGATAGCAAGTGTGACTCGTGTTAAAACAAAAAGGTTTCACAAATAGAGCATGGATTTCAAGACCATGTCGCAATCTTGTGTTAATGGTAGACCAAGAAAAAGAACAAAACAGACGTTAATAACAGAAAAGGGTGGGAGAAAAAAAAAAGAAGGGCAGGATATTGGGTGAACTCTACACAGGAGTAACGACTTGGCACAATGTAGGCCAAGTGCCTATGCTCCATAGGGGAATATAATCCAGAAGGATATACAAGCAGACTGTACATATGCTGGTTTAAACATATGTTTGGAGGGGGAGGGGAATAACACGCTTTTAGTCCAACTACCATGTTTTAGAAGGGGAATTCTTAAAAGGAACCAAACAATTAATAGCAATGTTTTAACTCTTTCAATAAAAGGTAGCTGCTCTATATGGGCATTTTCTTCTTTAAAGTGTGAGAACAACATTGTTCATCTGTTTATAAGCATTTTTCAAGCTCCCTTTCATTTTGTTTAACAAATACAATATTTGCTAATCTTATCTTTTTTTTTTTTTTTATCTATAACATTATTAATACACGGTTTAAACAGATAATGTACCAATTTAGGAGATTCTGGTAAGAGCGATTCGGCATAAAATCTGTGAATTTCTTCACAACACTTACTTTGCTATCAAATGCAACTTTGCGACCCTTATACATCATGCTTCTTAGCAACATGGACAAACTATATGCGAATATGGCTGATTGTGATGCTTTTCCACTGGAATACATAAGGGTCAATGAGATCCAGGGCTGTAGATGTCCAATCTCTCGCGCAGTGGAGCACATCAGCTGTTCTCCCTTGAAAGCTTGGTCTAGCCCTATGAGTACTTGCACCTATAGGGTTGTCAATCAATCAATCAGGTGCCATCTCCACAATGAAGGTTGGCTGCAATGGATCTCCAACAAGCCCTGTCTCTTGCCCTTGATGTTCACTCACTCATATTGCTGTTCGTCCATCTCTTGATGTTATCCTCCCACTTGTAATGCTGTCTCCCTTTTGCTCGCCTACCTTGAACCTCTCCCTCTAGGATGATCTTTACAATACTGTTATGTCTTTTAATGTGGCCAAAATCTTTCACTTGTCTCTTTTTTATTTCACCTAGCAACTCTCTTTTCATTCCCAATTTCCTCAGTACCTTGTATGTGATAGCTTTTGTTTCCACGAAATACGACCTAATCTTCTGTATATCCACATCTCCAAAGAAATGATACAATTTTCCAGTTGTTTGTTCATTGTCCATGTCTCTGTGCCATACAGTAAGGTTGAGAATACATAACATTTGACAATTCTCATTTTTAATGTATTGCTTATTCTTCTTGATATCAGTAACTTTTGCAAGTTGTTGAAAATGTTTTTGGCCATCCCTATTCTTTTCTTGACTTCTGTTTCACTTCTGCCGTCACATGTTATTACTTGTCCAAGATATAAGAAATTTTTAACTTGATCCAATTTCACCCCGTTCACTGTGATATTCATTGTTAGCTGATTATTTTCTTTGCTAAATATCATGGTTTTTGTCTTTTTCAAAATTATATCTAATCCAAATTCTGCACTCCTTCTGTTTACTTGCTCCACTAGGTCTTGCAACTCCTGCTCACTCTCTGCTAGCAACACTGTGTCGTCAGCATTTCTCAGATTGTTTATTATTCTACCATTGATGTGCAGTCCTGGTAATTCTACAATTTCTTTAAAAATGGTTTCTGTACATAAGTTGAAAAGGCTAGGCGACAGCACACATCCTTGTCTTACTCCTCTCTTGATCTCTATCTGGGGTGAGCAGATGTTGTCATATCTTACTGTTGCTTCTTGCTCCAAGTATAAGTTTCTAATAAGTCTGATATCCTTTCCATCTAGTCCTATGTTTTGAAGAGCTGCAATTAGTTGTTCATGTTGCACTCTGTCGAAAGCTTTTTTTGTAATCTATAAAACATGCATAAATATTTTTCTGAACTTCTATATATTTTTCAGTCAGCATCTTTAGACAAATTATGGCCTCTCGAGTACCACTGTTTTTACGGAATCCAAATTGCTCTTCAGAAACTTCTTTCTCTATTTTATCTTGAATTCTTGCTAGTATCTTCAAGAGTAACCTAGTTACGTGACTCATTAGGCTAATAGTTTTTCTTGGGTAGTGTGATAAAAACAGATGTTTTCATGTCCCTGGGAATGTACCCATAGCTATAAATGTCATTGCATATTTCTGTGACAGTATCAATTCCAAAAGTAGATAATGATTTTAACATTTCTGCAGTTATGTTGTCTGGACCTGCAACTTTTCCCTGCTTCATCTGTTTAATGGCTTTCTCTACTTCAGACTTTAATGTGTTTGGTCCCTCTTGAATATTATGGATTGGCGGTTTGTCACCTCCTGTGTCCCAAAACAGGTCTTCTGTGTATTCAGTCCATCTTTTTATTATATCTTTCTTATCAACAATAATTTTTCCATCCTTCCCCCTAATACAACCATTTCCTGTTAAATGTTTTTCCTTGTTTGTAAGTTTTCTTATATTTGCATGTATTTCCTTGGTTCTGTGTTTTATTTCAAGATCCTCTGTTTCTTTGCATTTTAACTGAATCCATGTTTCCTTAGCAGTTCTACACATATTTTGTATTTCTTTGTCTATTAATGAATATTCTGGAGTGGTTTTTGCTTTCTTCCTTTGTGTCATTTTGTTAATTTCCTCAGTCATCCATACTTGATTTTTCTTGTTTTCTTTCACTGGTAAGATGGCATTAGCTGTTACTAGCTTTTAGGGTTGTAAGTCAGTTAATTGAGGAAAAAAACTGCTTCTACAGTTAAGACCATTGTGTGGGACTGAAGAGGCACAAAACAAAATGGATCTAAAGAAGACAACCTTAATTTTTTTTTTAAAACCTACTGTGGACTTACTGGCTGAATGACTGTAAGATATGCATTCAACTTGGAATGTCTGGTTAGCGGGTGGGACAGCATATGGACTCCGTCAGGACATCCCCTGAATCTTCCCTAGCAAGCAGGCAATACTAGGGTGACCATTTACTTCCTGCACTGAAAGAATATTTCCTAAGGATTTTGTACTTAATAATAAAAAGAATAATCTCCAGAGCTATGCAGTACGTGCTCTGTGCTTTACACCATCTAAAGGTGGCAAGGGAGAGTCTAAAACAGCAGAAAAAGAAGAAGACGCCACAAGTATTATTTGCTTTAATTTCTAATGTTTAGACTCTTATCTCCGACTCAATTCTTCTGCAGTACTGAGTAAGGTGGTTTTATATTCTCTCCATTCATCCAAAACACTGGCCACCACAAGTGATAGTTGTTTGAATCCTGTCTCTGCTTTCTCAACTTGTGTGTGTGTGTGTGTGTGTGTGTGTGTGTGTGTGTGGGGGGGGGGGTGACGGTTTCGGCTCTCCTAGCAGATTTGGTCGGAAGCTGGTCGGCTTTGGTCGGCGTAGTGGGAGTTCTTTCCCTTGGCCGCACTCACAACAACGAGCGGAAAAAGTCACGACTCAAACACGACAGTGAGGTCAACATCAGGGTTGCCAATGCTTGGTTGTGTCCCCCAGATCTGGGTTTTTCTTCTGACGCTGCGGGAAAATCCGGTTTTTTTTTTCTTTCTGTGTGTCTGTCTGTGGGTGTTTTGCCGATCTGTAAGCTATAATGACCGATAAATTTGCATGGTTAGGGGTTGGGTTAGGGTTAGCGGTAGGATTAGGGTTTGGGTTAGGGGTAGGGTTAGGATTAGGGGTAGCGTTATGGTTACGGTTAGGGTTAGGGGTAGCGTTAGGGTTACGGTTAGTGTTAGAGATAGAGTTAGGGTTAGGGGTTAGGTGTAGCGTTAAATGTGACAATTGTGACGCCGTAGTTCCCTATAATCGCGCACAGTCGCATGCACGCGCAAACAGTCGACGGACGGTGGATGCTACTGACACGGACAATTCGCCACCGATTGGGCACCAGCCGCGCGCTATTGCCGTCATATTTGCCACACTTCCAGTGGCGCCACTCCTACAAACATCAGATTGTCGGCCAGTATTTTGACCTCTTACGTGAAAATTTTCACATCTAACCCTAACCCTAACCCTACTGCTAACCCCTAACCCTACCCCTAACCCTACCGCTAACCCAAACCCTAAGCAACCCTACACGCAACCGTATAACGATGATAGACACCCTACGCAGCCCTACACGCAACCGTATGATGATGATAGACACCCTACGCAGCCCTACGCGCAACCGTATGATGATAGGTAACCCAAGACACAACCCTACACGCACCCGGATGATGATAGGTAAGTATGTCATTTGATTCGTGACTTTTTCCGCGACTTGTTTCGAGTTTGGTGAAGGGACATAACTCCCACTAAGCCGACCGATGCCGTCCAGCTTGCCGGCCAAATCTGCAGGTAGAGCCACGGTTTCTTATCTCAATTCTGTTACACGTCTTGTCTTAAACATAAAGAGATCTTAGCTATTTGGTCTTTCGGTGTTTCTCGAGTGTCCTATTAATGAAAGCGTATAAAATCAAATTCTTAATTCAATACTTTATATGTACAGCAACACCAACTGTTGAGGGTTCCCTCGTGATTACCACAGTACAGTAGTATTTGAGTCCTTGAAGTGACAGCTTGACTACCGCAACAAACCAGTACTGAACAGAAAATACCTCCACGGGTACCAAGTTTTAAATACATACACTGTAATACTAACAACATTATGCTCGAACCATTAACGATGTGGCCACAAACCTGTCTGGGCTGAAACAAACATAACGGCGACAAGAGACAGCAATAGAAAATTAACAGTTCCTGCCATTGTGATGATTTTGGTCTACTGAAGTGAAGTCGTCTGCAAGTCCTTTCAATAGTGACGTCATTGAGCAGGGCGGACCGTGTATTGGAGGAGACAATGTTTATTTTGGTCACGTGGTCTCCCAAAATAGAAAGCTAGTCATGTTGGCAGGTATTTACCTATCTATACTAGGTACTGGCTAGAGCTCAGATCTTTTTGATACAACGCTGTCCCGACATGGGACACCATTTTTATGTTTATTCATTATTCAATATAATATAAATTTACGGTTCAGATAAGGGCACTGACAGATCTGCATTCAAATACAGAAGACATCATCAAGGTCAGCACGGGAATACACTGCACACGATTGACACCATTCCAGACTATAGTGCTATATTGCGCGTTGAAGAGGAATAGGACTCACAATCCATGGCGATGGCAAGTGTGACTAGCAAGACCCGCCAGCGTTAAGAAGTCTTCCATAATTATAGCATGGGATTTCAGGACCATTGTTGTCAACATTTGTGTTTAATCTGTTTTGTTTCCCCCTCAGACGCTCATCTCTCATTCCTTCTTCAATCAATTCTTCCTTTATTCTTATTCCTCCCTGGTGTGCACCCTCCACATGACATGGTCCATAGCATTGTGTTTCCACGAGTCCACCTCAATGCCTGTATCATTCATGTCCTGCTCTTACACGTCCTTATATCGTAGAAGATGTTCACCTCGACATCTTTTACTTGTTCACCATAGAGGATGCATTGTTTAACAGGTTTGTTCACATGGTGACCTATCACCTAGGGAAGAATGTGTTCAAGTGCCGGTAGAGTGTTTCATGTCCTTTTCTCTATACTTTTGATTAGACCAAAATTTCAGACTACAACCAGGCAGATGTGGAGGTGGGAGCTTATTCCTTGATAGTTTATATTTTTTCTGACAGTGATGGAGTCATTAGTACAAATATGTTTGTCGTTCGACCCGTGTTGTCAGTACACATAGTCGCACTATGGAGATTATGTCAGTACCAGATTATAGTTATATAAATCAATGCCCGATATTGTGGTAGGAGATACAAACCTTCTCCAGCCGTGCTTTCTTAGTGACTCAAAGAGCATTATCTGGATGATAACGATGTTCTGGACTCAAAGACAGCAGTTAGAGTGAGTCTCCAAGAATGCGCAACATCTTTTAGTTTCGAGCAATTTAGTTTCCAGCTACATAAGACGACCAGCCTATTGGTCACAGGTGATACATATCCACTGCACGCTCCACTGGCTGCTGAAGACGGGAATGGACGTTTATGGAAATGCTCGAGCTCTACGGTGTTGGTTCTAAGCTTAATTCAACTTTGTCAGCTTCATTTTCATGTCAGTGAATGCAGGCATTGCGGTAACATGCAAAGTTTGATGGCAGGAATACTGTAGGTGGGGTGGGGTAGGGAATTTAACAAATCAAGCAATGACTGTGAAACGGCAACATTGGCTACATACAGTATAGTTTAAGGTGGGCTGGTATCGCTGTTGATTCTATTGACTGTTTAAAGTCACGTGAAGTCCATTCCATTCTAGAAAAAGCTAGAACACGTTGAACCTGCTGGTGGCAGCTCTCTGCCAAAAGTATCCGGTTTTATCTGTGGTCTGGTTTATTTGCGCCACTTACGTGGCTAAGACTGTGGTATGTGCGTCAGCTCTCTGTGTTTGTGTCTTAATATCGAGACCGTTCTTTCCTGTCTGTATCCCAATGTGTTTCTCTTATCCTTATCTTCCTGATGTTTTCCTCGTGGGTCATCCTCTGTCCAGTTCAATCTCCTTATTATTTTGTCCTTGTGTCCTCCAGTGTGTTCCCGAATCTATTCCCTTCTAGTCTGAGTTTGACCAGGCGTATTTCGTAAGAGACGGAGCTAGTTTGCAACTATTCTTTACTTAACGTCCTTTAATTTTTTTTTTTTTTTTTTTTTTTTTAAATTGTGAGTATATGCTTTGCTAAAAGTACTGAAAAAGGTATTTGCGTGAAGTCTCTGCATTGATGTTTTAAATAAAACACCTTCAACAGAGAGCTTACGATGATTACTGGGGGAGGAGGAAAAAAGGGGGGGGGGGGGGGTGTGCCCATGCATACCAGTACAGAAGTCAAACAGACATGTAATAAATATAGTATTTCTACCCAGGACTGTCCTGAGTGACTGCACGACATGGAGGAATAGCAGGAAATGAACGAGAGGGGGTAGCTAAGTAAACTTCAAGGCCCTTTCAGCCCCTGACGCACATGTGATTCCGGTCATCGTCAGCTGATGATTCCTCTAACCAGGCTTCCTCAGTAAAAACTTTTAATGTAAATATTATCATCATCATCATCATCAAGTGTGGTGTGGGCGGTCATGCCTGCCCACAATCTGCGAGTATCAGTTTGTGTGTTGACACCATTCCATGCCAAGACAAAAGATTGTCAAGCATCTGTTCAAGCGGTCTCTTTTTCCACAGATCTTTCCAGTGGTCACAACATCTCCCAGTTCCCTCTTCTCATAACATGACCAAAACATTATGACTGTCTCTGATGTTTGCGATAAGTTGTCTTCGAGCACTCACCTATTTAAAAATATCTGGGTTACTGTTCTTAGCTATTCTAGGAATTCTAAGGATTCTTCTGTAAAATCACATCTATGAGGCCTCAAGATATTGTTCAGCTAGTTAATTAATTGTCCAGGCTTCACAGCCATATGTTAAAACTGGTTCTATATAGCTGCAAGAATTATTTTCCTAACCTCCAATAACATGTATTTGTAGCATGAAATAAAGTACACATAACCTTTTTGAATGTAATGCACTTGTGATTATTCACAGTAGTTGCCTATTTGGATATTTGCTTGCCAAACTTTCTGGGATTGAAAGAGCTAATCCCAACAGTTGCACTGTTCAAGAAGAACAGTAAACCAACACAGAACTGAAATCATCAGTCGCTACACATTGAGGGATGTACCAAGCAGATGAACCGAAAACCTATGGGCTTAGTGGTAAGGTGTGCAGCGAGGTCGACCTGTATAGAGTGTAGTGTTATTTGATACTGCCAGAACACTTCAGGAAGACTTGACATGTAGTATATATTTTATTTTATTAGCTAGGCCATATAAACACAGAGGAAGTCAACAAGTTCCATCATAAAATTATAATTTGAAAAAGAAAAAAAAAACGTTTAAAAACAATACAATTGAAAAACAAACAAAAAACCAGTATGTGGTGCATACATTTCAAAGCACTTAATACTGGCAACATTTTATCACTACTAGCCCTGAAACTTCTTTATAACCAAAAGTAAATTAAAGGAACCTTTTGCACGCCTTCATGTGTATTGGACATTGGGTCCTGGACCTCTGTTTTATCGACCCACTGGCACTTACACCAGCTGCCTTTACTTCCCAGGACTTCCTCAACTACCCACTCAAGACTGGGTCAGCCTGGCAGCCAAGGTCATTAAAAAAAAGTCTGGTTCCATTCAGACTCGAACTCATGACCTTTAGATCTGCAGATGAGCACCTAGCCACTACATTATAGCGGCTCTTTTTTTCTAGAAAAAAAAAAATTATCCTCATTATCATTATCATCCTGATGACCCACTATATGTCTCATAGGGCTGGCAGTTTATTCATTGACACTGAGGTCTGAGGTTTTGAACAACGGATCAACATCGTGGCACACGGGTGTAACCCATAAGTGCTCCGTTCTTCTTCTAACTCAAGTCTAATTCCGAAGAAGCTCAGCACAGTGCACAGGCTCTGTAGCACCCGTGAGGATCCTGAAATACTTTGGGTCGATTTTTAACTCCAAATTTTGCCTGGTCAGCACCTTCAGTCTTTTCGATTTCCAACTGCCCAGAGATTTTCTTTACGTACGCAACAATGCACACTGTCGTCTGATCTCACTACCCAGAGAAGAATGGGAATTTCTAGAAGTCCAAGTCCACTTGAAAAAATCCCAGCCCTTACCGTGGATTGAACCTGGAACCTCTAGCACTTGAGGCGGACACCATGTCTCGATACCACACAACCCCCTATCCATACTGTTCTATTCTGCGCAATGGTTTCAAAATCATGGATGGAGAAGAGGCAAATTATGCTTATATTTTAACACTTCATGACAATTCAGAAAGATTATACGAGAATCAAACATAGGATAATTCACTTTATGTCCCTTAAGTGTTATATGCTTGCTGTCTTCAATACCACTGGGTTTGAGGGAAAGGGGGGGGGGGGGGGGGTGTGAATAGATCCACTGCATGTCATAAAAGCTGAGTAACTAGGAATCTTTTTTCCCTTCAAATTCAGAGTGCATCTGCCTGAGAGGCAAGGAACCAGCAGTTTGTATGCAGATATTGCAACCTAGCAATAAACCTCAGCACAAGATGCCAACCGCCATTTTAAAGGTATACACAGAGAAAGAAGAAGTATGGTTCCAGTCGTGTGGTCTGCTCAATTATACTCTAGTGAGGATAATGTGGGCGTGTAGCTTAACCTTCCACAACCACACAGGTAGGTTGTGACCTCCATTTTCACAGTAACATTTGACTATCAGGACAAATTAGCACCCTGCTTCCCCAGGCAATGACTTGTCCAATATTACACTTTTTACACTTTTATTTTATTAGCTAGGCCATATAAACACAAAAGAAGTCAACAAGAAGTCAAATATATATATATATATACAACAAAACATTTAAAAGCACTTATTACTGGCAACATGTATCTGGATATTTCTCTGGGTTGTTTGTCTCTTTTCTTTTGCCCTCTGTGAAGCATATACCCTCAGTTAACTCACACCATGTCGTCAAGTTCTATTGCTGTCACGGAGTGAACAGCCAACCCTACACTGTGGACTATTCGTGACGTTGACATCCCTAGCGGGCAGGTCACATTTCAAATTAAACCCGTCCGGGGGAGGTGGGGGGGGGGGGGTATATAGTCCCTCATATTGATATATACCTCTATCTGGTGGAATAAACATTTCTAGAACAAGTCTACATTTTCAAACTTGCAACTGTGGGATAAATAATTTCTGGAATACATTCCGAAATTCCTGAAAGCCTTTTCACTCCTTGGGCACGAATACAGGACTTCTTTTCTAGAGACGACAAGCGGAGTCTGGCACGGGCATTCTTTGCCGGACCTCTGAGGTGTCGAGATGCATTTCAATTCTCTCATTAAACTTCGGCGCATTAAAAATACCAGTTTAATCTTTGAAGGATTCCTAAGCTTGGGATGATACCTCCTTAGAGGTCAGGCAAACGAGTCACAGTCCAGCCAACAATCACCAACCCATACCATCCCTATCACCAAACCTACCCAAAATCCTACCTATTGTTGCCACAACTTCAACATGGCAGGAGCTTGCGTGTGAGTTCCAGTGGTTGAGAGACAGTATTGCAGGCCACTTGTGTCATCAATCCAAGGAAGCCTTCTTCAGGAGCTTTGTTGGGCTCCAGCACAGTTCCTTTGTCCTCATATGTGAGACGATCAGTGTTTACCAGATCAACCAGAAGAAAAGCGATCTATTGAGTCAGACGGTTCAAATCACCATGGACTGAGGGGAGCAGTGACCTACCAGATTGGATAAGTAACATCTGAGTTGACATCCCACATGCTCTATTTATATGTCTACCCATAGGCACTGTGATGATTCATAAACTCTGAAATTTGTCTGGCTATTTCAACATTATCGCTTCGACGTTAAGTCCCGAAATCCACTCACTGGGAACCATCTTGATTGTCTTGATATATATATATATATATATATATGTATATATATATATATATATATATATATATATATATATATATATATATATATATATATATATATATATATATATATATATATATATATATATATATATATATATATATATATATATATATATGTTGCAATTATTACATCCATTCAGAAATTTTCATGGCTGACTTGGGTGTCCCTGTTTCACCATTCTAACTGTCTAGCTTTTATGTTTCTGTGATTAGTAAGTGTAATCTGTGTTAACATGGCTATGTTAGTATACTATCTTTTTATAGTAGTGGGGGTGTCCAGCCAAGTGTGCCTAGGAATATTAGATATTCTGTAGTGCCAGAACTTGAGTTGCCCTACTCCTGAAATAAGTTGAGCGTATTTTGGCCACAATATATCCCTTAGACCAATACGAGCCGACGCCTCAACATTATTATTTCAGAGTGCTGTTGGTTCTTAAGGAGAAATCCTTAAATCAGGCACGCGACACGAGCGGTATGTGACATTTGCTTTTGCAGGCAGCTCACAGGATGTCCTTATCTTATAACTTCACTCTCTAGCTCACTTCTCAAGAGTTTGCTTTTGTTATTGTTGTTGTTTTGTTGGGGGGGGGGGGGGGGGGGGGTAGTTTTTTTTTCTTTGTTATAGGTAAATCATGCAGTTTCATAAAACATATTCATCATGGCCATTTTGTAACACTGAAAGAAAATTATACATCAAAAATGATTGCACATACCTGTTAGATTTTAAGAATTCACTGTTAAATGAAGCAACTAAACTGTGGGCGGGCACAGAGTGAGCTGCACATGTTGGCAAAGGATAGGATAAACTGGCATGATCTGGATGAGGGCTTAAGTTCCATCAGAGGATAAAAAGCAGAACTACTACTTCTCCTCCTCCTGTTTTTCCACCTTAAACCTCAACAGTGAAGTGTCGGGGAGAGATGTAACACTCGTTACATCTTCTCCCACACGCCCGCCCCCACGATATACTTTTTTCTAGTTTTAACAGTGTAATAGAAAAGTGCTTTCTTCAGAACTTACATGACATAAATGATAAATGCAGAACAACAATACAAAATCAGATTATTTAACCTTTCATCCCACAGAAGACGACAAACTTGACAAATCCTGTTGGGTCCAATTCCCCACAAATGTCACTTTACCGACTTTATTCTAGTCTCTGGTTTATGGGAAGAACTACCTTGGTATCGTCTGTGCCTGTGTAAGCATCTAGGAGGACTGGAAATTAATATTTTTGTTAACTATAGCATTTAGGTGGGGTTTCTTGTGGAAAACCAGCTTTTTAAAATTAAAATCACAAAGTCAGAATTTACCATTAGTCACAGTGGTAACGTGGTGACTGGGTAAAGGGATGGAGAATGGGTCATGATACAAATTTGTAGGCTTAAACAGATGTAACCCAGTTAATTTCCTGCTGCATTTATGTTTATTCTGTTAAGTTAGTTGCGTATCCTATACAGGACGTTGTAGAACCAACCCCAGCATTTTTTAGCTGTTGTGGTTTTCCAAGGCAAGTCATGTAGTTTGCCACTCCTTTCTGGACGGTCGGCTTCTCGATACCACTGTCGAAACCAACGCCTAAGCCTCAGACGTCAACATTTATTCTGTAGGGAACTGAATATGTTTCATCCATAAATGGAATTGTTATGACCTGTGTAAAATTGGTGTGTTTTTGAAGGCATGTTTTTGGGGGGAAGGGGGGGGGGGAGGTGAATTTCTAAAATATAGGTTCCAGGTTTAATTGTTTTTCTCTAGATCACCAGGGCGAAAGGGTTACATCTTTATACTACTGGCTGTTGTGTTGTTTCTCTAGGCAAATTTATGTCCAGTAGTTTGCCATTTCTTTCTGGACGGTCGGCTTTCTTGATACCACTGTCGAAACCAACGCAAGGCCAATGGCCCGTAGCTGGGATCGAACCCGGCATTACGAAGCATTCGCATTGACTTAGCCACAGAGCCAACTTATTGTATTTTACAGAGATTATTAACAGGCTAGAAAAAAACTTGTCAATCTGAGGATAAATCTATCATTAATGGTTTATGAAGCCTTCCGAATGTGACATGATTGTATTCCTATTTTGAAAACAGATGTAATTTCAAACTTTACACATTTTTAATTGTTCAGCAAATCCAGCCTTTTATGATGACTCCATGGCAGAAAGTACCGGATATTATTTAAGAGATTAAATAGCTCAACAGCCCAATTTAGTTGACTGCCAATTTAGTAACAATATTCAGTTTCCTGTACTATCAAATTAACTGCTGCTTAAAAAAACAAACTAAACAGTACAAAAAATACATACAGAATGGTTGTACATTTACATATATTGTCATAAGTCTCTTATACAGGCTTTAGACCTTATCCTATCACATAATCTTCTTGCATAAAAATCACGATAAACATCTGGCAACTCTTCCAAGGCTTTCAGGGCTCGATCTACAATCTGATTGGCACGTTGCACAGGTACTGGATCATGGTTGCCATAAGGATCTTTACTGTCATACATATTTTCTTCCAGGTGCCGCCAAAACACATTAACTGCAACACCAAAGTCTTCGTAGGTCATGTTGTGGAACCATAAGGCTGTAGACGAATTTCAACAATTGTTTTTAAAAGAAGTGTTTAAAAAATTTCAATACAATGCAATAAAGAAGGACAATAAGTTACATTATTAAGTCATCATGCCAGACAGCCCAAATGAAAATGTTTTTCCACAACCATCTGTTGTCTGTGTTCTTTTTCTATTTTTTCATACATTTAATCAATGATTAATTTCCTTGTCACTATAAGGTATTCGCCTTGTTAAATTGTTTTTCAAATAGATTCAACATTCCTGACTATCATCACATGTCTATAACTCTCTATACTTCATTACAATGACCAAAAAAAGGGAACCCTCCCCCCCCCCCGCCCCCTCCCCAAAAAAAAAAAAAAAAAACTGTCTTTGACGAGTGTGACAAATCTGTCCTCGCAAAACTGTCTTGTCATACTTGGATACTGTTCTAGTCAGGTGCAGTGGAATTTTAGCATTACTCAGTGACCAGATTTCTGTGGTTTTAGGGTCTATGATTATCAGGCACACACAGAAGCTAATAAAATAGTTGTGAGGAGAATAAGGATAATTTTTTTTTTAAATGTAGAGATGGCCTAGCAGGGGAGGCAGAAGTAGCTCCAGTGAAATGGATGGATAGATGGATGTTTGGAAACAGAAATACTAAAACTCTTTGACTCCTTCAATCTGCTCCTTAGTTGAGCGGCGACTATATCGAGTCCGTTTTTATTTGCTGACTCTAGGTCGTACTTTTTCTTTGTGGCATTTGGTTGTGTCTTGTATTCCAGTTTTCCTTTGTGGGCCTTTCCTTTCTGTCAGCGTGAAGTTGGCTGTATGGGGAGGGGAAATCTAGTAGTCCTGATAAGGACTATTAGGATTTGCCTGGATCGGGTATGGGTGTGAGTTAGTTTGGTGGTGGTACAATCATGCCTGGGTGGTCTTACGCAAGTGAGTTTATCCGGTCCGGTCAGCTGGCTTTTGGCTGCTGTCATGGTGGCTTGGCTGGTTCTGATTGGCTGCTGGCTTCTTCATGCCACGGTTGGGCTGGTTCGCCTGCTGGGTTCTTTTTGGTCGGGGAGGTGGAAGGGGTGGTTTGTTGGAGGTGGCTGTGTTGGTAGGGGTTTCTAGTTCTTGATCTCCATGGCGGCATGTTGGTGTCTTTGCTCTGTTCATTCTTTTGCACTTCTTGTTGCTTTAACTGCTTTGTGGCTGCTCTCAGTTCCTTTTTGAGGAGGAATTGTTTTTCCTCTACTGCGCATCTTTGAGCAGATGACATGTCCTCTGTCTCCAAGGCCAGCGCCTCCTGGTCATAAGTTGTGAACACTTGGTTACCGATTATCTCCAATTTGCGCGGGAATATCTTTTCGTTCAGTCTTCGGTTCAGCTCTTGTACGTCGGCCTCAGTGATTTGGTTATTGGTTCTCGTATTTGGGTTTTCTTCTTTGTTATCATTCGCATCTTGGTTTTCTCATTATGTTTTGTTGCTTTGGTCTGCACTCCTGCTCGGTTCTGTCATCTGCTCCTGGTGCCTCGTGACTTCCTTCTCAGTGGCTGTGCATTTTTCAGCCTTCTGCTGCGTCGCTATTGCTTCAGTGACTGTGCTCTTGTCAGCCCTGCTGACATTTGGTTTCTTTGTGGCTTTCTCTCTTTCATTCTGTAACCACGCGCACTCTGTTCTAGCTGCCATCTCAGCCGCTTCTGCATCTAGTCGGGTGACTTTTCTGTAGGCTTTCTCTCTCGCCTCTTTCAGCATGGCCATCTCTCTGCTTCTCGCCTCTCTTACTCCTGTCTGCGTCATTCGTTCCCTGCCTGTGCCGCTGCCAAACTTGCACTGATGCTTTCCTGGGTTTCTGCATCTTCTTTCTTGTTGTCAATTTGTTGTGCTGCATGGGCTCTTTCAGTGCATTTATTTCTCCCAGCATTAGGGAGATAAGCTCTAGCGTCTTGGCTTTTTCGGCAGCGGTTTTTTCCTTTTGCAGTTCAGATCTTAGCTCTGAAATCGCTCGCATTAGGTTGTTGTCTTTGAGTGCTCTTGATAGCAGGGTAGGCTGGCTTCTCAGTTGGCTAGTTACGTATGGTCTGGTGGGTCCGGGTGCCTCGTGCTTCTGTTCATTCCTTGATTCGGCACTGGACACCCCTCTCTTCATGTCTTTGAGGTATGGGTAGCCCAGACACCTCGCACTATGAGCGCCTGTGCAGTTGGAGCATCGTTTGTTAGTGTTCGGACTCTTGAAATCCTGGTCTAGTTTTGCCAGGGGGCACTCCTTGAAGTTGTGTGTCCCTGAGCAGTAACAGCAATTGGGGCTGCTACGACAGGTCGTGGCAGTGTGCCACTCCCTATTGCAGCAACTAGGGATCTCTGGCAAGTAATTACTCTGCTGCTGCAGCCTCCCTTGCATACTTGTGGGTGCCGGAAGCCTCGTGTTTGACTGAGCCACAGGAGCGTCGGCGGCACTGGTTGCTGATGGCTGGTGTGGGTTCTCGACTTCAGAGACACTGGAAGGTTCCACTGTGGCTTCTACTTCTGGAATAGGGCTAAGCGGAATGTGGGTGATCGCAGCCTGGCTCTGGTCATCTGTGGCAGGTGTTTCTGCTGCAGCAGACTCCGGTTTCTTGGGTGAGGCGGCTTGCTTTTTCGATTTTCCCATCTTGTTGAGGTATCTGGCAAGGCGGTATCTATCGGGCGACTAGCGATAGCTTGATCTCTGGAGAGTTGGCAAGCCTTGTTAAGAATCCTGAGAAGGAATCCGAGGGCGCGTTCCCAACAGTATTCAAGGCAATCGCTTTGATAATGGTGCGTAAACGGGCTGCTAAAATCCAAACTCAGCGCCAACCAAGATAACTAGTCAAGACTGACTCAGCCGAATATCTAGCGAATCGGTGTCAAGTATCTAGTTATTGAGAATCGGGCCATGGAGGGAGCATTAGCGGGCGACGAGATGTGCTGTTAATCAGGCTGATAAGCGAGTCTGTGACTGTGGTCGTGTCTCTTGTTCCCGAAAAAAGAGACCTTTATAGTAGCACACCAGAGGGAAAATACTCCCAGGTCAACAAAGTCTTAAATGTTAACCAGGATATATATTGGAAAGTAAAGGAGGCAAGTGTGATGCTGATCATATCACCCAACGAGCACCTACTGGAGAAAACAGTCATTCAAATTTACTTTTATAATGCTTATAGTGTGAAAATATAACCAATGACACCAAGACAACTAGCATGAAAATATAATGCTGTTACACAGAACATACACTGAGAACACTAGTAAACAGTATAATAGAAAAAGTTCTTTCTTCAGAACCCACTTGGCACCAGACAAATAGAATGATTAAACATTTGGGGAAGAGACAGAGACAAAGAATGCAGACAGAGGGAGACAGTGTTAACTAGTCAGATAGAACTGTTCCCTGTGAGAGTTCTAGGGGCCCCCACTGTATGGGAAAAAAACAGAACAGACTCGCTGCTCCTCTCCCACAAGCATGTCATAAAAGTCAACTAACTAGGGGTGCTTCCTATTAAATCAGAGTGCATATGTCTGAGAGTTAAGAGCCAACAGTCTGCACACAAATAAACTAGAGATTTAAAATAGATGTGCATGTAAACCAGTTTTGGAAGAGGACTAAAGTCCAGAAGTGGATGAACGACCAGCATTTTCCACCAGAGTTTACAGCCAGTGAACGCTAAGAAGAAGAAGCAGAAGAAGACAGAGTTTATAAAAGAAAGCAGTGAGATATCACAACACAAAGGATAGATTTTTGTGCATGCACATGATCACTTGTGTCACTCAGGATGGTACATAATGCTAAGTAATCACCTCAGAAGTATCCTTATTGTGAAATCTACAGAAGAAATGAAGTACATGAAGCAGACTATTAGAGACAGAAATAGGGGATGTGGGAAAGTCATGATTAGTCACCTGGTATAAATAGAATGTCCCCTGGTTCCAAGTATCCTCTGTACTGTCGAGCTTGAGAAAACTTGGGGAACCTGCTAAGGTCTGGACTGTCAACATCAAGAACCTGAGACTTATCCCCTGTAATCACACAACTATCAAGTCATCCAGAAATCATCAAATTCCGGCAAAATATGTTTGATCATCACCTTCTTCCATCAGGTATGTACATCTACACCTACTGATAGATCCAACCTCACTCATATGTGGATATTTACATCCACTAATAGATCCACACTCATTCAGATATGGATATTTACATCAACTGATAGATCCAAGCTGACTCCTATTTGGACTTCCACACCCAGTGATAAATCCAAGCTCTCTCTCATATACGCATCTACATCCACTGATAGATCCAAGCTCACTCTTTTTTCTTTAAAATTTACTAACAAATCCAAGCTTATTTAGATATGGACTTTTGCATTTATTTATAAATCAAAGCTTATTCAGACACGGACTTCCACAACCACTAACAGATCCAAGCTCACTCAGACATGATCTAACCCTTCGCACCCCAATGGCAGTATCTCATATTCTGAAGTAAATCACCAGTAACAATAACTAAATGTGTCTGTGTAAGAACAATAGCACAGGCAAATACATTAAAGCCCTGAAATATATTTTCTGTTGGACATTTATTACAGTGACAATATTTTTTTACAAACTGAAGTAGGGAGAAGAATACAAGGTATCTTAGTGTCTTGAAGTAGATGAGGAAAGATAATGACTGAAGTGAACAATTTTAACATTTACATATTAGTTAAGGACCCTTTTTATGTGAATGACCCATTGGACATGTGGTTCTAGACTCTTTTTTTAACAAACCAAATGGCCCTCGATGGAGGATGTAGTTAAAATCATGCCGGACTCTTTTACTTCCTAGTACATAACCTGGAAACCATTTTAGGTTGGGTCGAGCTGGGAGCCAAGGCTATTTTAAAATAGACAGATTCAAAACCAAGATATTCAGCCCGGCATATGATCTCTAGCTATTAAACCATCACGGCTCTCATATTTACATATTACAAAGCTTAATGGCAAAAGTGGTTTATGATGATGATGACAAAGCAAAAAACATGAATCTGTTTCTAAATTACACTGTCTGTGCACCATACATCTCACCACAGAAGTCCAAGATTAACCTTGTGGTCTTTATATAATCCAAGATTTCTTGCCCCAATTTCCATTGCTTTCACCATTTTTAATAGAAACCTGCTTAGTAAACAACTTGTAATGAATCCATTTTCTCCTCGATAAATTATGTCCCAGACGGAATGACGTCAGCTAATAAATATGAATGGAATATTTGAGTGTAACTAGGACAGCGACGTGAGTCACGAACAAAATGCTGGCCAGATGGAACCAGTGTGAATCACAGAAAAAATGTTGGCCAAATGAAACCCATGTGAATTGGAAAACACGAAAAAGTCATGATTGAAATGGGGGCGTTAGAAGGTTATATAATGCTTTAGAAAGAGCATGTGGGCAGTCTCGTTTGGGCCAAGGAACGGAGTGCGTGAAGAACAAAGGAGTGTTTGCGGATCCAGAATGTGTCTGAGGATGAATGTAGCTTTAAACGCCCCTACCTGCCCAAACAGCAACGATGGGCGGTTTCTCGTCTGCCCACTGAAATTGTGTTTGTGTCGTCAACATGGAGAAAGTTTGCGTGCTTCATTGTGTTTGTTGGAATGTGCAGTTGTGTTTCGATAGTGACTTTTTTCCATAATTGTTTGCTTCAACCTAGAAATGACCTCTTTCATGTACCGGCTGAGATAACAGGGAGTGGAAGAATAAAAAGAACAACACTCTCTTGCGATGTTTGTTTTCGTCCATTTTCTACTCATCGTTTTGATGTTGTGGTGTGAAAGCGGAGTCTGCAGTGACTAGAGCCAAAGACACTAAGAACAGAGTCATTGCACAACTCAAAAATGATAAATAACTCAGAAGGAGATGACCTATGAAAGAATTAGGTTCTTTCCTCAAAATGTGATTTGCTAATTTTCATACTTGTATTAAGCATATAAACAATCTGGAACAATTATACTCTACAGTTATTGAAACTGTTTGCTTGACTTACCATTCATATACAAATTGTCAACATCATTTGGATGGAAAAGAACAACTTTCTTTCTGCCAATTACTTGAATAAGAATGTTGTCCATTACCTATTTTGAGTGAAAAATTGTGATTAATAACAAGAACCTTGCTTTCTTTTTAACTACAATGTATAAGGCTAAATGCAAGAAAACTGGTTTAGCTGAGTCTAAATAAAAACTGTTACCAACGTTACAAAGATACATTTAATTAGTATGCCAATTTAACATAAAAGATAAATGAAATCTCTCAAGCAGGGTGTTTTTTATTTTCATTTTTAAAAACCCTGGAAAGACTAGTACCAGATGGTGTCTTTACTATCTGTATCGTTAATCAATCTCAAGCAAAAAGATAGGGGGGAAAAGGGGGGGGCGCAGAAAGAGCAAAACAGTCGACGGCTGAACATTAACCCATCCTTTAGCCCTGAGATGCTGCTAATCTGGCACTGCAGCACTGGCCAGTTCTTGCCAAGTTAACAGCCATCTTCCAATGTTGAGATGATGCCAACTTCCATTGTTGAGATGACACCAACAATTATAATAACTTGTCAGATTATTGGAGAGGGGGGGGGGGGGGGGGGGGGGGGGGAGGGTGGGGGGGGGGAGGATGCAAGAAGACAATGAAAGAAGATTTCTGACAGCCACACATCTAGGGGAGAAAAAATAGTTCAGTATAAATTGTTACACTCTGATGTTAAAAACAAAAAAAGCAGCGATAAAAAAAAAAGTGTAATTACTTGTTTGTTGTCAGCGTAATTCATAACAATGATTTTTATTTATTAAGAACTAAGAAGATACAGTAATTCTATACAACAAATACTATATGAAAACTTAAAAAAACAAAAAACATGATAAGCTTATCAATAAAACTTACACAGGTAAAAGCTACAGTATGAACAAAACACCAATAAAAGACAGGAAAATCAATATAAAATGACTCTTTGACTATAAATAAGCCCCCCCCCCCCCCCCCCCCCCCCCCCCCCCCCACACCTCCTATCACATACACACACACAATTTCAAAAGTGTAAGTACACAACAACATTCAACAATAATGCGGCTAACATTTCCACAGAAGTATGACAATGATAGATTTGTTTTACTGATTTAAAATAAACACAAAAAAAGGAGGTTTTAGCTTGAACTTACATCATAGTGTGTCCATAACTGCACTCCTTTTGATGCCATTCGGAAAACACTGGAGAAAAATTTGCTGCTATCAAAATATTTTGGAATGTGAACATCTGATGAAAGGTTGGGGAATTGAACTGCAACATTTGCCACATCTTTACGAGGGTCATCACCTAATGCTCGCAGGTAATATTTCTCTGTCTTGTATAAAGAAATCATTGATCATGTGTATTGACATATGGATGCTACATAGCAATGATTTACAGTATTTAACCCATTTTATAGCAAGCTTCTAAACATTTTGTATAAAGTGCGTAAAACGTATATGTCTGCTAAAGAATTAACACATGCATATACTGTAAAGCCTCATTAACATGCACTTGCTTATAAAGAACCCACAGCTAATATGAACAAAACTTTTTGTCCCAGCAGGGATGTATTTAAAAAAAATTTATTTACATTTTATTTTCTCAAAATATATATAAATATACAAAAGAGGTCATCAATAAATGTAAACGGAGAGAAACATTAAATGGAATACATTCCAAAGGTCCTAAACAGTGACTCATGCCGTGACCCGTGACCTCTATCATCGAGGTTAGGGGAGTATCTGACATCAACTTAACATTAAAAAAGCCACAGAGGTCATAAGGAAACCCACTTAAATGCTATGTTTAGTTACTATATTCATACTCTTGCATGTTAAACAGTGCACAGGTGCACATTAGAGTCAGTGGAATTTAACTGCTTTTCTAGAACAGGTCACTGCAGACATGGTGAAATATCAACATTTATGGGATTGTGTCACAAACAGAAGTGACTAGGCTGAATTTTCTTGGGGCAAAACGGTTAAGCAAAAGCAACTAGAATACAAAAAACATTTTGTCACTGGTAAAGCTAAAGAGAAATAATTTTAATCAGAATGCTACTGGCACCATTAGTATCGGAACTCTCTGCTGGCTGCTGAAGATGGGGGTGGAGCGTTCATGGGAATGCCCTGAGTGCTGTGATGTCGGTTCTTATATCAAATCAAATCAATCAAACAAAAATCAAAAAAATCAAATGATAGTTACTATGACAACTGACCTTGTCAATGAAAGATTTTTCATGTATATCTTCTGATGCTCTTTGTAGAAACTCAACAAATGGCAGAGACCTAGGGGAAACAATTGGCAATTTCAATCAGATAAACAAAAAGGTGTAAATAAGAACTGCTGTCTGTCAAAAATACTAGGCAAGTCAGGATGGTTGAGGGGTCTAAAGCGCTGTGTTCAAGTCGCAGTCCACTCTTAAGGGCATGGACCTACTCTGATTTGTATTTTTAGATTTGTATAGTGTCCACTGTTGTTTCCCTAAGCCAAATTGTTTGGCCCTTATTTAAGATTAAACTTCTCACAATTATTATCTAATATTTTCATATTAATATCTTTCCGTCCTTTTTAGGACGCAATTTTTTGTTATTTGAAGCCCTACTCTGGCTCATGCCAGGGGCCGCAAAATAGCCCGGTCATAAGTATGGCCTAATGGCTGAACACGGTTTTTGGGACGTCTCCACGGTGATCCTCATCCACATGGTGGCACATTGTGGCATCAGGTATTTATTGCTTGTTTGATGTTCTGGTGGGGTAGAAAGTCAGTCAGTCAATTATTATCCTATATCCTCTTTTTCCTCATTAGGCATCGGGTTCAGAGCTTTCTGTCTCAGGTACTTTTAATCATTTCTGACACAGCTGATCCATGATTTTAAACTGTACAGCAAGGCTATTTAACTAAGTTTACTCATGGACCAAAATGCTGAAAACTGGCCACAGCTCCAGCATAGAAAGATAATTAGTACAATACAACGGGCAGTGATCCATGGGCCACGTGCTAGGCCCTCACAGGCCACATTTGGCCTGTAGACCACCAGTTGAATAGCCCTGCTGTTTTTAAATTCCTTGTCATAATGGTGAACCAATGTCTTATCTACTGCCAATATAGCCATCAAAATATTTTTCT